ATACGTTAAACTTTCTGTTTGTGCCCTCTCCCTCTTAGCTCTTCGATCTACTTTTATTCGTCTCTTCATAAACCAGGCTGTCTAAGATGCTTGCACTAAAACAACAGCATGCCACTGAAATGATTTAACTCCTAGTTATTTGGTTAGGCACATTTTAACTTACAGGATAGTGACCTGCAAATGCATACTGTTCTGTATTAACATTTTGTTTTGTTAGCATTCATTCATATTTCTTGTGAAACAGACGTGAAACTGTTTCTGTAGCCTGTCAAGTGTGAGGATGTCTCTCTTACACTAAGACCCTCTAGAGCAGAAGACATCAGTCATTTTCAGTTGGATTCCCAGGTTACTTTCTCAGTTACAGTTACTTTCCATTATAATAATATTCCAGACAACTTCTTCACCTTCCCTTTCCTCCTCACCCACACTGTTATGTGATGGCTTGGAGCTGTGGAGCATACCCACACTAAAGTCTGCAATGGCATATTATATATTTTTGGTATCTTAAAAGCTGTATTTTTAAACAGGTTAAAAGGCATGACAACTGGGACAGTTTTTATCACAGCAGCCTTTTGGTATGCAGATCTGTCTGGTAGTCATTGAACTAATTAGATTAAACAAAGGCTTTCCTGAGATAATCACTTTGCAAGCCCTTTCCTATATTACAGTGCCCAGCTTTTTTAGTGTGTTTTTGAGGGTCAAATGCTAGTACCAGCTAATGCTTAATATCTGAATGCATGGTGTTCAAGCAGATGTATAAATTAAATTGAATTACACAAGATCTATATTGGCCAAGCTTTGACTCATGAGGTATGAGTTTGCCTTGTTTTAATATTGATTAAGAAAATTGCATTTCCTGTGGATTGGTGAAGTATTACATGTAAATTTATAGGAAAGGCTTGGATAGGGGTCTAAGGTATGCTAGGTCCTGTGCATCTGGGCAATAGTAATTGTACCATTCTTAAACTCTACTGTTTACACTTGTCAGTGGATGGCTACTGCAAACTATCTCTACAAGGCAGCCTTGATTTTAATGACTGAAAAACACATACCTTTCTTTCAAATAGAGGGAATTACTAAATACTGAATCACTAATTACCAAATACTTTCACCTGTGAAGGACTCATTTTTGAAGCCTAATTAATGTTGAAGACTGTCTTGATGGTAGCTGCTTTTCAGGGCAGGAGGTTAGTGTGAGTCTATGGATAAAGTGTCATTACATGAACACTTTAAGAAACATGTTGCAGCTTTTAGCTTGATCAACACAGTGGAACTAAACAGACTTGTAATCAATAGTCTCTTCATGCTTTGGTAACCATCTCTACATGTAGACTTCTGTTTAGAGCTTGTCCTTTCTCCAGTCCAACTACAGAGGCTTACAAGGTTGTCAAACTTCTATACCTGAAAAAATTATTGAACCTTTGTTTCATGGGTTATGGTTTTGAATTATCTTTGTCTGGTAACAAAGCACACTCCCTTAGCAATAAATATTAATTTGATTTGGGTAAGAAAGTTAAGCTGCAGTATTCCTCATAAGCAACTGCAGTGACATATGTCGTGAAGTTGTTACAGCCTTAGAGCAGCAGGGTCTTTCCTGAGAGGTTTGCATAAGTATCCAAATCCTATGAGAGTAGGTGCTTCTACTCAAAGGTGCCTCTACAGCTCAAGTTTTTTAGTCACTTGAGTGTGACAGGCAACAGCTTTAAAGTTGTTCCTTGTCTCAGTGATATATAGACAAAGGATTATCCAAAAGTTGATGTGTCTAATGGAAGACTCCTCTAAATCATCCTATGTGGAGCTTGTTAAAACTGGACACTAACACATAATTTCAACTGAATTAAACTTTAAATAGGCTGGAACTTCAGCTAAATGACTTTTAGCTTGATAATTGTTCTTTGAATTTAAAATTTTGAGATAGTAGCATATTGGAATTTAAGAGGTGAATTCCTTTAAACTATAGTGCTCCAGAGATCATGCTACTCAAATAATGTATTTCAAATAGTTGATGCAGGAATTGAGAACTGGAACAGTAGTCAAAACAAATAAAGCATTTCATTAGTTGATAAGGTGAATGCTATTAGATTATCCATGTAGCTTAAAAAAAACACTTCCTTTTATGATACTTGAATTTCACTGTAATAATTTCATTATGTATCACCACTAATGTTACAAAAGTGTACTGTTAAAAGTTACTTCACAGGAAGTGATTGGATGTTGCAAGATTTTACATCGAACTGCATTAAGAATATTTTTAGAATAAAGTTTCTTTGCTGTTTCCTACAGAAAAAAATGCATGTTAAACTAAGTCCATTCTGTACCTGTGTGACAAGAAGCTATTGTGCTGTCTGTTGAAATGCTTGGCAAAAATGGGCTACTGAAGCAGATTTCTTCTAGAATTATTTCGTGTAACAACTGATAATGTTTAAACAACTTTTTTGATTTGGAGCAAAACTGCTCTTGCTCAGTAGTCAGAATTTGAAGTCTTCATGCTGTTCCTCTCAATTTTCCACAGCTCTTCCCTAACATGGATGTGCCAAATAATCCATAACAGTGCTAGTACTGACCTGCAGAACTGCGCTGTTTTTGTGGTGTTGATGTAAGCTTACTGAATTTGTGAACCTTAAGGGTCCATTGGTATGTTAGGATGCTGTTGAGGCGCTTTGAAACACCTGAGAACCCCTTTTAGTATAAACTTAGTAATAGCTAATCACTGTACTATTATTAATGAAAATGGATATAGATGCATAGAGAGGCTAGACACTGGAGTGCAAAGCACACTGAGTTATGATTAGGCAGTGTTATTGCTCTTAAGTTTACTTGCATATGAAAGCAAGTCTTGCCCACTCAATATACATACAGAGAAGAGAGGGAGGGAATAAGTCTCAGAACTTTTTGATGACCGGTGAGCAGTGACTAGAGCTGTAGCTTTTCCTATCCTCATCTCTTGGATTTGGGTGTATTTGGGCATCAAGTGCAGGGCTCCTGCTAGAGGCTTGAACAGAGCTTTTCTTAATTAAAGTTGAATCAAATTTGATATAATTGGTTGTGGGGCATTCTGCTTGGTCTATTTTTGCCTAATTAGCAGCTGCAGCATCTTCTCCATAGCTATACAACAAACTCATTTGCCTGATCTGCTTCTTGTTATACTGTCATAGCTTATGATCAGATGCCAGCTGATAAATCCTCCTAGGCTACCAGCTGACCATCAGCATCCAGCTTTTGGGCAGTAGATAACAATGTGGTGTGTCTTTTAAAGAAAAATCTTTCATACATGATTTGCATGAATTTCTTCACTTGCAGGATACTCTTAACAGGACATATTAGAGTCAACTATGTATTAATCAAAACTATATCCTAGCATGCAGATTAACACCATCATCATGGAGTCTTCAAATGTTGTAATACTTCTTTTGCAATTAACAGAGAAAACAATTAAGATTTAAAATTAATTTTTAAATTAAGTACTTTAATGTTATAACATGTTGAAGTTTTTTGCATATTAATAGGGGTTGCTTTATCCTTTTTGTCACTCTCCAGAGAACAGCCATAGACAATGCTTTTCTCAGAATCTTCTGTGATAGGAAGAGAAGAGCAGTTGTAGTTCTGCTGGAGATGAGACTGTCACTTGTGGTCGGAGGACATCAGTTCAGGGTCTTTCAGCATCAGTGGTTGTCCTCAGCGCAAATGAAGTACTGTGGCATGGTACTTTGTAAGGTAGATTTACTATAGCTGAAACTGATTGTTTCCAGAGCAGAGATCTGAGTCTTTCCTGGAACCAAGGCCTTAAATTTCAGTTAATTAGGTACTTACACCTGGATTTAACATAGACACAGTGGTTCAGCTGAACAGTTCCTTAATCTGGCAGGGCAATAACTAGGAATTTTTTGTTCGACTCTTTGTCTTTGTAAAGTGATGCAGTCATTGGTAACTATTTCCCTTTGTTTGGCATATGACACCTGAGGGTCTTGTTGACCTGGAAGTGTCTAAGTTATTGTTCATCTGAGCCTGGAACTCATAATGTTTTGCAGGGGAACATATTGTTACATGTGCTCCGTTATGTCGATAAAGCTGACTTACACAGTCAGACGTCTGTCTTTGGCACACAGCAGATCCTTATATAGAAGAGTTTCTGTTTGCACTGTACCACTGTACGGTTGTGTAGATGCATGTGTATGTGCAAGATGTGTCAAGCGAGCAGGAATTATATCTAGAATGCCTGTGCAAGTTTAACATCTACCCACAGGACTCTTAATTTCTCAGCTACAGTATATTGATAATCAAACAGAAGAGCTGCTCTTACTCTCCTTATCCCTTCTGTAGGAAGGTAGTAGGTATTGTGCAGTTTTCTCCTCTGTTCAAAGAATTAAATGCAGATAGTGTGGGAGGCTTGAGTTGGGATGAAATGGGCTGGAGCGAGGCTGAAACTGTCCGGATGTGAAAATGTGTTAAGACCTTGGTCTGCCTGAAGATTTAATCCTACTTATAATACAATAGTACTGCATGGGCTAGCTTAGTGTTGAAATTGTTATTCTTGAGATTTGTACAAATGAATTAATGGAAACACACAAAAACTTGCTCTTCCCAAACTGTGAGGTGAAAACCTCATTGAAAACTGGGGATTTTTAATTTGATATGTTCTTACCCTATGTGACATCACTTGTGGATGCTACAAATTCTATTTCCCTGCAAACAGGTTTAATTTTAGGTGTTTTTAAAGATTTCTTCTTGATGATGGACCATATGGACATACCAAGGAAAATGCAAATCATAAAGACAACAGTTGTTCTAAGAAGTTAATGGTTTAAGGAAATAAAATAATGCAAGGTTGTTTTGGGATGAGAAACGTCCATTTTATACCTTGTCACTCTTACCAGTTGAACGAAAACTAAAAATATTATAGGAAATAAAGAAATCTGTAACCTCAATACAAATAGTAGGGTTGCCTTACGTATTTCAGTATAGCTGTTATGTAACTGAATGTGTATTTATTCTTTCCCTAGATTGTACATGCCTTTTGGTTTTGAGGAACAGAACGCGCCATGGGACAACCTCAAAGATCTCTCCAGACGGGGTCTCTTGCTTGGGTGATGTGTCTGCTCTCCTGACTGTCTTAATACCCAAAGGATTTATTTTCCTTTTGGAAATATTTTAAGTTGAAATCTTGTTCCTCACTGGAAATCGTCTGCATTAAAGACTGCATGCATCATGGGTGACATGGCAAACAACTCGGTTGCATATAGCGGCGTAAAAAATGCTGTAAAAGAAGCTAATCATGGAGATTTTGGAGTTACTCTTGCAGAGCTCCGTTCTCTTATGGAACTTCGAGCTGCAGATGCACTGCATAAAATACAGGAATGCTATGGAGATGTACATGGCATCTGCACAAAGTTGAAAACTTCACCAAATGAAGGTAAGTCAATTTTAACACTATTATTGAGGAAGCTCCATTTAGGAAAAACCTTAGTCGGCAAACTACTTTTTTTAATATAACCAAGTTTATAAAAGTATTTTAGTTATCGTAAGAAAATATTGCTTCGTATTCCACAGTAATAAGTAAGTGAGAGTTTTTTTCGGTTGGTCTAAATGCGTGTGAGATGCTGTATTAGTGGTGATGTTGCACTTTGCAACGAAGTTCATTGGTGTAGGCATCCACATACGAAATAGCAGTGCAACATAGCAATGTTCAACATATTGTGAAAGCATAAATTTTGTGAATAGTCCATATGACCTATAATTCACAATTCAGATCATGCTGTTGTAGAGGCCAAGGTTTCAATAGTCTAATGCAGGGTTTATTAATGCTTCTGTGTTGCTACCTAGTTCTTGCATTCCCTATTGCAACAATTTTTAAAACTGGTGGCATCTGTTTTCTATTTGTGCTACACTGAGTTCTTAATAGCAGGATCTAATTTTTAAATCTGCTGTATTTCTGTAAATTTCATTTGAACCATCCAAAATAACTATCAATACAGCTTTAAGCTTTAACGTGTACTGTCACTCTTAGTCGAAGGTTTGCAAAGTGATTACACAATCTTATCCTCTAAGAATAAACATCTTTAAAGTGTTTGCCATGTTTGACTGAAGTGACACTCGGTTGTGTGGCTACCTGATGCTTTTGCTCTCTAGAGTTACTACTCCAAGACAGACTGTACAAATGTGAATAAATAAATAAATTTATCGAGTCTCCTTCCTGAGAACCTTACAGAAGTTTTCCTTAAGGAACTGGCCATCTCTTACTACTTTCATCCAATGTAAATGAAAGCTCCAAGTGTCAGCTTGTGGAAGATGCAAGTCACACTTCATAAAATATTTAAACTGTAGTACCTACACTAAACTGTAGTACCTATAGTAAGCTGTACATAGAGAAAAGTACTTAAAAGTAACTGAAACTTATTGTGAAGTCCTGCTGTTGGGAGTGATTGAGAATTACCAAAATCAAGATGTCAGCAGATTGTGCTGTCTCTGCATTTAAGCACTCACACAGCTTTTAACCAATATGTTGTCATGTTGGTGGCAGTAAAATACCTGCTGTCTTAATCCTGGAGAGCCGTTGCTTTCTGTTCTTCAGAAATGCTATGGAAAGATTTGTCTCCTTGGACCAAGAACAGCCTACTAATGCCGTAAGGTACCTCTGGGTACATTTGCATTCAGCATGTTTTGTCTTGATCTGCTTCTAAAATCAGATTTCCAGTCTCCTGAAACTATATCAGTACATGAACTGGGTTTTTCTTACCAAACTGAAAGTAGCCAGCTGACATGGCTGACCTACCAGTGAATGGGAGTAGACCAATTTCAGGATGAGGAAGTTTGTAAAAAGTAAGGAGTGCAAAATTCTGTTCTTGGCATCAATGGAATTGTAGAGTAACAGTGCATGTGTGTGATGCACTGCAGTGTATAAGCAGTGTAACACGTTAGATAGGACCAGTAGTGTCCTGTTACCCTGTTGACCTGCTGCATAGTATTGAAAGGCAGTTCCCTTTCTCAGTGGAAGGGGATATGGTTTTCTATAATCAGGAGTTTAACTGAGAGTTGAATCCTGTTTTACAGTGATGTGGAAGGTTTAAGGCCCATTATTACTAGGTGGGCATACAATTTTAGATAGTCATGATGCATTAAGCACCAAACACCTCGAAAACTACAGGTTTCACTTTGTCTCTTAATGTAACAAACAAGTTAACACATGGGAATGATGAGTGTCAACATACTAAAACTAGAAAGGGTTAGATTACCCTTTCCTGCAGATTGATTGTGCAGTATCGAGGACTGTGTGATCAAGGCCTTTCCCTTTCAAAAGGATTTGACATTTAGATGTATGCTACAATCAGTTAAATACAACTGACTTAAAAGGGCACCATCTTTTAAGTGTGAGAGAAGCTCATAAACACACTGAGACCTCAACAGTTGAACATGTTAATTAGCTCAGAAAAGGTTAAGTAAGATGAGTTAGAGCAGTGTCCTCTACAGAGGTGTCATTTTGACTCTGAATCACTGCATGAATCTTTAGAGAACTGGCCTCTCTGTCAGGTAAACTGCTATAAATTTCTCAGGGAGAGTACTGGAGAGGTCTTGTAAAGGTAGAACTAGGTCTCCGCTTTGTCAAATTCAAGTTGTAAGTATAGAAAGGGAGACATTTCTAATGGAAAAAAATCTAGGTGAGATCTGTGCAGAAAACTACTATGTGTTTACACTAGTGTTACACATAGTTGTAACTAATGTTCTAACTCTCTGTAATCTCATGTCTACACCTGCAAGGCCCTATGACACTTCTTCCTAATCATGTGCTTTCTTTGTGATATGAAACATTGGCCACTACACAATTACTAGTGGCTTCACAGGAAAAATACAGGCAGTTCTGACGTGCTACATAGTGGATGAGTTCATCTTGTTTTATTTCTTGCTGTGAAGTTGTTGACAATGAAAGGCAATATCTCTTTTCAGGCAAAATGTGAATCAGACCGATATGATCTGAAATGAAAAATGGGAGCAGTCCTTTACCACTATTACTTAAAAAAAAGACATTGAGCAGAATTTACTGCTTACATGTATACTAATGTGCAAAATGAATGTTTGACATGTCTTTAATGGCAAAAGTCCATCTTATATTCTGGACAGATAAACCACCATCACTATTTCCACAGGTCTACATAGCTTTGATTGTCTAATAACTTCTGGATTTCTAATAAAAACTGTATATGAATATTGTGTATTAACTAGTCCCTTTCCTAGTATTTTTCACATTGACCCCAAATAGCATACATTACCGTAGTTAAGACACATAATGAACAATATAATGGCAGTAGTTTTGAACTCAGGACTGTAGAGTGTTAATTTTGAAACTGCCAGCTGTGTGTTTCATTAATGATGCATGGTGTATTATGGTGTATACTAAAATTACAAATGGTTTTTGTCTTTGCTAGACTTATTTACTAATATTCCCGAAGTGGTTCTGATAGTAGCTAGACATTATATGGCCTTGTTGAGATGTGCTTTTCATTCTTCATAGACCAGTGCTGTATTTCTGATGTTCTACACTGTGGTACCCTGCAAAGGGAGGAGGAAAGTGATGCTGCTGACACTATGTAAATAATATTTTAAACTTTGTCATGTTAAAAGGAATAGAGAAGTGATATCTTTAGCAAAATCACAATATGGCCCAGCCTTTTGGAATGGCCAAACCGTCCTGAGTTTCGGTAGATCTTGTAATGTAGAGCTTGATTTTGAAAATAGCCTTGTGGTGCTCTTTGAGCTGAGAGTGAAAGTAAGCACCTTAAACCTTGAAGTGCAAGAAGTATAGTGTTATGGCTGATGAGTACAATTGCTCCTTTCTATTAAACCTTCAAAGGCATGAATGCAAGGTGAACCTAAGAGTGTTAGAATAAATCTAATATGTATTATACACGCAAAAAGTATGATTAATTCATTTCACTTTTGAAAAGATGTACACATAATATTTTGCTTTTCAATTAAGTGATTACATATCAGTTGTTAGCTTTTAAAAGTGAGCTTTGCAATTCAGTAGTCTTTTCAAGGCGTCTTCACAAAATCACAGAATATACTGAGTTAGAAGGGACCCAGGATCATTGATCATTAAATCCCACTCCTTGAAATATCTTTTGATGTCTTGAAATGTCTTGAAATATCTTGAAATATCATGTGATAATTGTAGGAAATGTCCATTACAGGTGTTAACCATCCCACTTACTGTGAAAGCCAGTTGGCAGTGGCTACTGTTCTTATTGATTGCCTAGCACATTTGCAATGCCTTTATCAATAAGCAGTTGGGTTAACTATTAAAAAAATTGCTTCCAAGATAATAGTTGTCTTTAAGCAGGTGCTGATCATAACCTTGAGGGCAATATGGTTGAAGTATCCAGATCTTTGCTCTGAAAAGCATGGCTGGATGTTCGACCATTTTGCTTTGAAAAATATGCTAGTGGCTTCAATCTGAATGGTGAGTGAGGCAACTGGAAACTGTTACAGGAGTAAACAGGAGGGGTACTTACAGAAGACCTTGAGTGCATGACCTTGCACTGAATGAACCTGGTATTCCTTTATTTTTAAGATCTTGGCATGCAGTACCCTTCAGTGAAAGCTTCTCACTCTTGTATGCTAGTGTCCCTTAGGGTTGGTACAAGAATTCAGATAGAAGAGGACTCAAAGAAGTATGCCATATAAGAACGAAGATAGGTACAAAACTGAGGTGACAAACCCTGCGCAGTACTAAATACGGGCTCTCTCTGTGTGAGAGAAGATAGAATGTGAAGCTTTGGAAGAGCAAAAAATTACTGTCCAGGTGGAAGTAGCGTCATAAAGTGGTTGCCTCTTTCCATGTGATGCCTAGAGAGCTTCAACAACTTTTAATATTATTTTATGTAATAAATAATACACAAATATAGTGGTATATTATTATAATATGTGATTATAAAGTTTACATTAATTTTAGGGTGCTAGGATGTAGAATCCCTGCAGAATCCCTGCAGTGGGAAACAGTGCTGCCTTCACAGGCTGTGGTCTTGCTAAAGCTTTATGGTGCTACTCAGTCTCAATAGTTACAACTACTAATGATCTTGTCTTGCAAACTTTTTTACTTTGAACAAAGGTATATGTGTTACTGTTACTCGGTAACTATGTCATATTGAGTGACATACTAAGCAGGTAGACCATCAACTTTATTTTGGCAAGGTGAGAATTATAAAATAAAGCTGGTTTTTAAAAGTGACTGACTTAAGGGTAATACTTAAATAATTATATTTGAGACATGGCTTTTTGGTATTGTTACCGAAATGTGGAGTGGGACTTGATTCCATGAATGGGAAACATCAGTCACTTGTAATGTGAGGGAGAAATGCATACAAGTGTCAACTAACTTTGTCTTACTGTTAAATAGGTTTAAGTGGAAATCCGGCAGACATAGAAAGGAGAGAAGCAGTTTTTGGGAAGAACTTTATACCTCCTAAAAAGCCAAAAACATTTCTTCAGTTAGTATGGGAAGCACTACAGGACGTTACATTAATTATATTAGAAATTGCAGCTGTAGTATCCTTGGGCCTTTCTTTTTACCAGCCTCCAGGAGGAAATGAATCATGTAAGTAAATTTTTTTTTACAAGTAGGTATCTACTTTATTATACTACTGACTTTCCTGGTCCAATGTACCTGTACTGTAAATCTTATGGGAGACAGTAAGTCAGTGGAAAAGCAGCTTATTGTTCCTTATTTGAGAGCATACTACTAAAACTCTTGCTTGCCTTAAAAGGGCAACATGAGATTTCCCTGGTCATGATCTGGTATCATTCTGACCAGGATAATGCCAGAGGTAAAGTGCAAGCAGCAGGAGCCAGGACTTTTCTTAAATCCAGCAATGTTTCTGTGTAAGTGGGGTTTTTTTAGCTTTGCCTCAAATATTTAAGGAATTTATAATTTGCAGTCATGGGCTTTCTCTGAGGAGTCAGCAAGTCTTAAATTTTCCTTGATTTGCAATATGACACTGGTAACTTTCTAATTCAAGAAATGAAGATATATTTATGCTTCTAAACAGAAAATAAAGGGATTGGGCCTTCACTGAACTGAATTTTTGCAATGATATCTGACTTGTTAAGGCAAAGGTAAAGTGGGATATGTTAAGAAAGCAGAAGCTGATTAACTAGTCTGGCATTCTTATGCCATCATTTAACAAGATAATAAGGACAGGTAACTTTCTATATTAATTTCTCTTGTGTTCAGATAAGCTGGGTGGTTTAGGTTCCTTAAGTTGCTCTAGCTTTCAGGTTCTTTAGCTTCTTTATATGTTACCCTTATGGAAAATAAAGGTAAAATTGCAAAGATAGCCAGCACAGAAAATGTTTAGCAACTATTACTAGTTTCTTTGTTTTGGCATTTTTTTTTTATTGTTGGAATAACTATCTATGTGGACTTTCTTTAATCTAAAACCTCTTTTCTGCAGTGTGTGGATCAGTAAATGTTGGTGAAGAAGAGGAGGAATCTGAAGCAGGTTGGATTGAAGGGGCAGCAATCCTCCTGTCTGTAGTTTGTGTGGTACTAGTAACAGCTTTCAATGACTGGAGTAAGGAGAAGCAATTTCGGGGATTGCAGAGCCGTATTGAACAAGAACAGAAATTCACAGTCATCAGAGGTGGTCAAGTCATCCAAATACCAGTAGCAGACATAATTGTTGGAGATATTGCACAAGTGAAATATGGTAAACATATTTTTAAAGTTGAACTTTCTTTTAGTTTTAAAAATGGAACAGCAGTCAACACACCCAATGATCTCTTGTAGGTGACCTTTTACCAGCTGATGGTGTACTCATTCAAGGAAATGACCTCAAAATTGATGAAAGCTCACTGACTGGAGAATCAGATCATGTTAAGAAATCGCTGGACAGAGATCCTATGCTGCTGTCAGGTGTGTAGCATATGACTGCTTGAAGAAAGTGTCTTTTTTCTTGGGTAAACTGGTTATTTAAAATTTAGGAAACTGTACCTTGTTGTTTCTTAAAACTATCCAAAACCAATGTGACTGCTACAAAACTGTCAGAGGAAGCAGACCTTTAAAATTGCGTAGCTACTTACGGTTTTCCTTTTCAGATAGCTTTGGCAATTAAAGCTTTAGAGGAGCACAGTGGTGTATATACACGCCTTCCTTTTGTTAATATGAAGTTTGAATACTTATTTCCCTAAAGTACTTACATGCTCTACCATATAACTGCTGAAGTCATGGTGGAAAACCTGATTTAATCTTTCAGGTACACATGTGATGGAAGGCTCTGGAAGAATGGTGGTTACTGCTGTAGGTGTTAACTCTCAGACTGGAATCATCTTCACCTTACTTGGGGCTGGAGGAGATGAAGAGGAGAAGGAGAAGGAAAAAGAGAAGAAAGACAAGAAAAGTAGGCATAATAATCTCAATCCCTGGGGAAGGAGGGCTGAGCTCTTGAATGTTACTGGATAAAAACTCTTTTAGTTAGCAGGAGCCAGAAATCATTTTTTAAAATTCATACTTTCCATAGGTTTCACAGGAAAAAGAAATGACTCAGGTCCAGTGGCCTGAGAGTGCATCGCTACTACTAACTCTTGTCACGTGGATTTTAATTAAACTTCAAATCTCATTGATCAAATAGAGTTTGGAAAGTATACAACTCCTAACCAGCCATACTATTTATAAACAGTTAAATTGTCATCTTCTGTAACTTCAAAGTACATTCATGTTTAATAGCAAATATTTGTTTATGGCAAACAGGTTATTATACAATTCAACCTAGTAAGTATCATGTTCTGCATTTGACAAAATGCCCCTTTTAGGGCATTCTTCTGTGACACTTGAAGGGGAAAATGTATCTTTGATACTTCTGAGTTTGTGGATAATTTAAGCATATATGAGACTGATTTTAATAAAAGATGAGCAGATGGCTTGTGCTGCTACTCCTTTTCTTCCAGAGCTGAAGTTTTGAACACTCAGAGATACACACAAGGCAAATCCCTGGTGGCACTTTTCTTTAATACTTATTTTTGGAGGGATGAAGGGCTTGTAATTGAGTGTATTTTGGAGCCCTTCTGTGAGGAGTGGAATGGGCTGTCTTCCTTATTATAAGGTCACTTATCTAGCCGTAGCCTTTACCCTTAGAATCAAAGCTTGGAAATCTTAAGCAGTAATATTTTGATACTAGCTCTTACAAGGACTGAGCTTCACCACGGTAAAAATTTTTCAAGAAACTGCTATGAAGTCTGCTGGATGGGACTGAGTTTGAGGGTTCTTGACAGTAGAACCAAAAAATATAAATATAAATCAAAATATACTTTTTCATCAAAGGAATATGAAACAATAATGGAAGTTATACAGAAATGTGATTAGGAATCTCAAGGGTCTTCAAACTAAAGAGTCAATTGTTGAAGTGTGTGCTCTGTGCAAGAATTGGGATTGAACTCTTTTTGTCTTGTCCTAACGTGCAAATACTTTACAATTCTGATCCTTCCAGAAACTTGAAAAAAAGTAGTAAATTTCTTCAGAAGGTAGAAAAATGGTTACAAGAAGACTTGAAAGAGCTTCAAGCATGATAGTGAAGACATGCAACACTTCCAGGGTTTAGTGTGAAACAGTTGCCATCCTTTGCTCTTCCCCTTTACAGAGATGACAAAGCAAATGACAGTACGGGCTGCTATGTCAGATATGGAGAGGATTATAGTTTTTATTAATATTCTGTCAGTGTTTATTATTCTATAAGCAGAAGTGTCTTTGACAAGTGGTGTTTTGGTGTATCCTAGGGCTTCAATGCTTGCAGGTGGTTTTTTTTTTTTGTTTCCCAAGATAGACAGCTTCCTCTTTCCCTTAAGTTAGGTGCATAATAAGATTCTTCTCGGTAAAACTCAGGTTAAACTAAATTAGCCTCTCTGTGAATGTTAAGGAGATTAAAGGGACTATATTTAGTTGGCTCTGTATGGCTTGGTGCAGAGTGAAAGCAAATGTATGTACAAGGAGATAATGTACGAACAAGGAGTTGAAAGTAACTCAAGTGTAGAACTTTGCTCTTGTAAGAGAGAGAGGGGACCTAGGAAGGAAAAAATACTAAATTAGGAAACAATGACAAGTTCTTTAAAAGTCTGAAGTGACATCTTTTGGAGAAAATGAACATGCTGTTTCTTTTTCCTTGACCGTTGTGAGGATGCTTGGGGGGAAATGTTATATAGAAACAGACTGTGTGTCTGTTTCTGTAATGGAGAAACACCTCTGTAATGGAGGTGTTAAATGTCATGCCACGCATACTCGACAACTTGATTTTCTTCTACCTAAGTACTCTTGTAAATTTCAGCTTGCATAACCTAGGGTCAAAACTTGGTGAGTTATCAATGTTGCAGAAGATTTCTGGGTTTTGTTCTAAGTTCCTCAATTAGCCTTGCTTTCTTTACTTAAAAGTAAAGTTTGTCACTTGCCAAGCCCCCCCAAACAACATAAGATGTGTTGATCTTCCAGTTACCTTTAATGTTTCACTTGTTAAACTCTTTCATTATTTTACTGTCCTTTATGATGTCTTGTTGAACTCCATATCTGAACACAGGTGGGAGTGATATTTTGTTATGAACTCAAGCTATTCTTATACTGATGTGTGATATTTTACTTACAGATTATGTTCATGTGCGTGTAAATAGGGTTAGCATAGATCCAGTAATCCATTACTGTGCCTCTGTTAAGCTTGGCTATAGATTTATAAATATTTTATACTACCATAGCTTCTGCAGTATTGTACAAAAAAACACTGGTTCTGGAAGTGAGATCCTACAGTTCATTTACAGTAGTAGTCAGATACTGGTGGCAAGTGTTGGAAGAGCAGAGGAAGATGGATGCTACCAGAATCACTTTAATGTAACAAATATGTTTCATAGAAAAATGTGTAAACAAGTGTTTTTAAAGCTTTCCTCGCAAGCAGTAAGTGTCTGTGTCAGTAATTTGTGCAGACTTAACCATGGTAGATTAACATTGCAGCAGTTTTATATGGGAAAAGGAAAGTCCAGAAAACTGATGTGAGCTGTTTCTCTGAGCTGACTTGCATGTTTTACTTTCTTTTTAAATGAAGTTGCTTGTTTCAGCAAAGTAGTCATTATATATAAACATAAAAATTAAAATGAATTCTACACAGCCAATTTAAAACACAACTTGTTCCTCTCTCTGACAGGTAAAAAGCAAGATGGAGCTGTTGAAAACCGTAACAAAGGTAAATGCAGGTTCTCTGATCCTTTCTTGCAAGTCTCTATTTTCTGAACATGTATGTAATGAATATAGACTTCCCTGTGAAAATACATATTGAATCCTTAAATCCAAAATGCTTTTATGCTAAGGATGCCGTAAGTGAATCTGCCCCAAACAAATGCTTAACTGAACTTTGTATTCCAGCACCTACTCCCAATACACTTCTTTAAACATTCATGTGTAGTATGGCCTCTCTGGATACAAGAGTACACAGTATCGGTGGTAAACTTTTTAAGTACCACTGACTAGGGGGACTACCCAATGGCTAATTTTTTTCTTACCTTTTAGCTAAGGCCCAAGATGGTGCAGCCATGGAAATGCAACCACTGAAGAGTGAGGATGGTGGGGATGGAGATGAGAAAGACAAGAAGAAAGCAAACTTGCCAAAGAAAGAAAAGTCAGTTCTCCAAGGCAAACTCACAAAGCTCGCAGTTCAGATTGGCAAAGCAGGTATAATATCTCAGTACCCTCCTTATGCTGATGTTATGTTGGAATTAAGTTGGAACACGCATAGTTTGTGAGGAGATAAAATAATCAAAGCACTCAGGACTAACTATGTATGTTAAGTGCGAAGTTCTAATGCATGGAAGTGTGCTGTTCTGCCTGAATGTGCTGATGGCCTTTCAGACTGCGTCGTGTGGATGGCTTTTATTTTTCCTTGATTTAAATAGCTTCGGGCTTTCAAGTGCCAGCTTCCAGGAGAGGAAATTCCAGCTTCATAACATTGGACAATGGTTAGGAGTGATCTTTTTAGATAAGATATAGCAACTAGCAATGTATCTAGAGAACTGTAGATTGAGTGGAATCTGGGAAATGTGGTAGGGTCAACTAGGTTATCTCTGGTACTTTCAGAGGCTTAGGAATTTCCACTTAACATATGCCTTGCTGATATGTAACTTTTTTTTCTATCAGATAATATTCAGCTGTCTTGTCAAAATATTAGGGAAATTGTTGCTGCATGAAAGTAGACTAAAAGGACAGTGAAGTTCAGTGTAAATTTTAGGCTATATTATCAGTAGAATTATTGAATGATTCAGGCTAGAAGCAACTTCTAGAACCTCAAGAAGGGCTGACTTCAACATCTGTGTCGTTAGACTGCTACAGTCTGTGGACAAAGTAATTAAACTTATAGCTGTAGCACTCCGTAGTTATGTACAGCAATGTTAATTTTTCAGGGAAACTTGTAAGAACAAGTGCTGAATAAAGTTTCCCTGGTATGTTTAGTGTAAACTACTTTTCTTTTCAAATGTGGGTTTTTTCATATATTTCAAAAGCTTTTGTTTTCCTTTATGTATGTTTTGACCCATTGCCATTACCCATGTACCCTTAATAGTCGTAGACTTCATACCTGGATTTTTCTATCCTGCTTCTTTGAGACAGTGAAGCACTCTTCTGAATCAATTAGCAGTACAATCGTTGAAGACCTGCTGAATTTTTTTCATTTCTTATTTCTGCTTAGTCAATTGACTTTACATATTGGTCTTTCCTACTCATAATTAGCTCTGTGCTTTTCAATTAAATGGAAGAAAAAAAGATTTTAGAAATTGGTAGGTGAAATGCATGAGGAAATACTTGCTTTGGAAGTTGGAACACCCCTGAGAGCTACCTCAATGTTTTGACTTGCCTGTTTAAAATCTTAGTTATAAACTAGCTTCTGTACAAGTAGAAATGTTTTGTACTTGACTTACCTACAGTCTGTCTTGCTAAATATTTGAGATAATTTCTGAAAACTGTTTATTCTTTTTTTAACAAGGTTTGTTGATGTCTGCAATCACAGTCATTATCCTTGTGTTATATTTTGTAATTGATACCTTCTGGGTTCAGAAGAGACCTTGGCTTGCTGAATGTACACCAATTTATATTCAGTATTTTGTGAAGTTCTTCATTATTGGAGTTACAGTCTTGGTGGTGGCAGTACCAGAAGGTCTTCCACTTGCAGTCACTATATCTCTGGCTTACTCTGTTAAGGTAAGTGGATCGAGGGGGAATAGATATTAGAGGTAGATTATTGTATTCATCAGCTCTTAAATCTTAACTGACTTATGCTGCATCACATATATATAACAGACTGGGAAGAAGCTTTTCTTGTTTCCCTGAATTACAAAGAATTCTACTGCAGTACTTTTCCTCATCTCTGAATACACCCTAACATGGACAGTGAGGGTTGCCAGCCTGTTGTCACCGACCAAAGATGAATGGGTTCAGTACATAGCATTGTAGCATTTGTTTACAATAAATAGGTGATTAAGAATTTGTAAATAACATCCTTCTGTAAGCCTGAACTTCTGCCTAGCTGAACTGTTAAGCAACTGCTACAAAAGCTTCCAGATTGATTCTCCTTGAAGATGGAATACTGTTAAACATTGAGCTTACTTTTTATCATACAGCATGTTTTTTAACTTAAAGCTCTTTGTTTTCTTTATTTGCTTACTGTTTCAGCATGCTGAGAGTAGTTATTTATCTGAAAATCTAAAGTAGACAATCAATGCTTAGGCTGTGTTGTAAAACTTATATCACTAACTAGTAGTGGCCTTGTTGTGGTATCACTTTAACTTAATCTGCCTCTTGGAAGTGAAAATACTATATGAGCCTCTTAAGTAAAGAATTTAAAGCAATATTTAACGTATGAAACTTGTGCAGTCCTCACTATTTTAGTTGAAACATTAGGCTCCCAGTTTGTATTTGGTTATAAGTCTGAACCTGGCATCTTGGAAGTCTGTATTATCTGTGGTTCATATAAGTCTAACACAGCTTATTTGATCTTTCTTGTACGCGGAAAGACTTTTTAAACATGGTATCTGGTAAAGCTCAAACTTTACCTCTCTTTCTAAAGATCATCATGAACTATTTGCTCATAACAGTCGGAATATTATCAGTAGTCCGTGTGACACGCAGATATGTGAAATTAAGACTGTATATATGTACTTTGTTCAAAATGAAGTTTACTGCGACCTAGTAGACTTAAAGAAATCCGTACTGAATGTGGCAGCTGCAAATTCTTCCTCTGAAAGGTGCCAGATAACTTAAAGACTGAGTGTTTTCTGAAACTGCTGTGCAAGACTGGACTTCTTAAATGAGAATTTCTGAAGTGTGAAGTAATGGTTATGAATCGCTGTTAACTGCCTTTATTTCCTTAGAAAATGATGAAAGATAATAACTTGGTGAGACATCTGGATGCGTGTGAAACAATGGGCAATGCAACAGCTATTTGCTCAGATAAAACAGGAACATTGACCATGAACAGAATGACAGTGGTCCAAGCCTACATCAATGAAAAACATTATAAAAAAATTCCAGAACCAGAAGCTATTCCAGAGAAAACTATGGCTTACCTTGTGACAGGAATTTCTGTTAATTGTGCTTATACTTCCAAAATACTGGTGAGTGGATTTCTTCATTCGGTCAAGATAATTAAACTTCCACAAAAGACACGAATTGTGTGGTGACCATGTGGTAGGCAGTTAAATTGTGGCACAATGCAGCGTAAGGTATTTTGCACCTGGTGTAAATTTCTGAACTCTTCATTTGAGACTAAATTTCAGTTAGAATTGGTAATTCAAAGATACAATCTCAGGAAGATAACTTCCTCTAAGTTTGTTTTTATAAATGAGGCTGTTTACCTTACTTGAAGAGCATCTTGGCTAGTTTTGAGTGTTAATTCAAAATAAATATTTAAGAGTAATACAACATTAAGCAAACTATAATTAAAAAAAAAAAAAAGTAAGTATAGTTGAGGATCTTCATGGATTTTTTTTCCAGATACCATTGTATAGTTTGTAGGCTTTAGAACTGTATATTTGCTCAAATCTTGTTTGAGACTTGTAAAATATTTTGAAACTAAAAAATACTGGACTATTTAGCACTTTTGTGTGCATTATTTTCTGAAACTCTAAACCTAGCTTCCTTGCTGTAGATATTCTAAGACATTGCATAAAATTTTTTAAGGCAGTAAAAAGTAAAAGTAATAATTAGGATTTAGTAAATAAATTAGCACTTGAAGATTTAGTAGAAACCTCCACTATGAATGCTTGGTATACAAACTGCAGTGAAAACTCTGTCCAAAAGCTACTTCTCAGCCAATAAAAATGGTACTTCTGTAAGAATTTCATCAATACCTGTGCTTGAGGTGGCATGACAAGTTTAACAGCACTGATTTTTCTGAAACAAGATGGAAATACTACTGATGAGTTATAGCACGTGAAGAGTTTCACAATCTAATTTCTAAAGCAAGGGGAAAAAAAAAAAAAAAGGTAGCTGCGTGTAAACTGACTAAGTCCCTTACTGCTACAGTTTTAACCGAATTATGTCCAATGCAGTCAGAGTTAGTCTACTTTACAAAATCAGAGAGGGCTGTAAAAATTGCTTGAGATCGTCTGATCCAGTCCCCCGATCGAAGCAGGATCAGCCAGGTCATGTTGCTTAGGGCTATGTCTATTCAGGCTCTAAGAATCTCAAAGGATGGAGACTCTGCAATCTTTGGGCAGCCTGGTCAAGTATTTGACTACCCTTAGACTAAAAAAGTATTTCCTTATGTTAAAATGAAATTTCAAGAGCTTCAGTTTGTACCCATTGCCTGCTGTCCTCTCACTGGGCACTACTAGAAAGTCTAGCTTGGCTGTCTTTACATTGTTCCGCCCACCTGCCTCATTCAGGCATTTAATACGTTCTCATAAATTTCTTCCCCAGAGTCTTCTTCAGACTGAACAGGCTCAACCCTTTCAGCTTCTCCTCATATGTCAGGTGCTCTAGTCCCTGTATTATCTTTGTGTGCCATGGGTGTACTTGTGCCTGGATGTTGATAGCTGTCATATTGGGGAGCCCAGAACCGGACACTTTAAACTGCACAATAAAGTGAACACTTTGAAAGTGCAAGTATTCAGTACTGCCATATTCAAAATCTTGCAGCTCTGAACAATGCAAATGGATCACTGACTTATGATTAATATAATTCAGCTCTAGCTGCCTGTGGCAAGTCAGACTGAGTAAGTGCTTCTCCCTTTTTTGCTGCAAACTACACTGCAGTGCTATAGCTATATAAGCTCAAATATCTCAAGAGAAATACTCCTTTACTTATAGGACTAGTATGTGCATATCCCACATTGCTGAGATAAGAAACTTGTTCTGGTATTAAAGCGTTGGAAACTTGATTCTGAACTCTTTCCAGTTAAGTAGGCCATGGCCTGGAAAACAGAACTTGGAGTGAGACTTAAGAAGCTTAAATACTTAGTTTGTTCAGAAGAAGGCTAACCGGTGATGTGATTGTAGTCTAAGTCATTGAGGAAGAATTATTACAGGACAGGATACTTTAATTTAGCAGAAATAATGCAATTTAGCTTGCTTAAATTGGTATGTGAACTGTACCTGTACTTTTAGAATCTAAAATAAGTGTTCAGGGTCTACAGTTGATAGATAAGTATTTCAGGTAATAGAAAATGCCTTTTAGAAAGATCATGTTGATTGATACAAATTTAATGGGTAACTTTTGAGTTTGAGAAACGGACGGAAGGATCCTAAACAAGTACGGAAGTTACTTTTAAAAAAGCAGCAGTGTGACTTTGGATCGTGACTCACAGGAGTAATCATTGAAAAATTAAAACTTAAAAATCATTCAAAAATTAAAACTTCCCTATCCCAGGGCTAAATTTGGCCTTTCTTGTTTTCTAAATGCTGTGTTTCAGTGGTTTAGAAGTTAACCTCCTAATCAATGCTCACTCTTGTTTTTCTTGCAGCCTCCTGAAAAAGAAGGTGGCCTACCACGTCATGTTGGAAATAAAACTGAATGTGCCTTGCTGGGATTGCTCTTGGATTTAAAACGTGATTATCAGGACGTAAGAAATGAGATACCAGAAGAGGATTTGTACAAAGTGTACACCTTCAACTCTGTTAGAAAATCTATGAGTACTGTGTTAAAAAACTCTGATGGCAGTTTCCGGATATTCAGTAAAGGTGCCTCTGAGATAGTTCTTAAAAAGTAAGAAAAACTACTACTGTGATTCAGCACTTTAATTTGGCTAAATGTTGTGATAGGTGAGGAGACTGATGTGCTAAACAGCATTGTGCCATAGTGTGTGAAATATTTGTCTCACTAACCACAAACAAGTGCAGTAGTCCTATACCCTTAGGATTGCAGCCGGCATCTTAGCTTGTCTCCTTCAGCTGTTTGGCTTGCTACAGTAAGGTGGGCAATTAGCACTTCAAAACCCAAAAACTGGTAGTGATTAATTTGACCTTGTAAACTCTTCTCTGATAGCATCTATGAATTGATCTGTTTTTTAGTTAACCTATTTTACTTTTAGGTGTGGTTGATCAAAATGCTCACCTGTCTTCCAGTAAAGTCCCAACAGCTGATACGCCTAAATTCCAGGAAGAAGTTGTACCTTTGAACAGTGATTACTTTTAGCATACCATTAGTTAGACTGTGCAAGTCGATGTCCAAGTCGATCATTTTAATGGAAGGTTGAAGATGAATGAAGAAACTTGAGGGCCTTTAATGTGACAAAGCAAATTGCTTCCTTATCCATCTGCCCATCTAGAGAGGATTTATTAGAATGAGATTAGACTTAGTGAGCGATTAGACACCACTGGGACAAACCTGTATAGATGTGAAGGCAGCTGTGGTAACTCCAAACTAGGTGAGGAGAGACATCAAATATGTATGCCTAGTGTTCTCTAGGAACAGTAGTTTGTAGTGAGGCTGGTTTTGATTCTAAGGTCAAACTATTTCTAGTCTGAGTAGCACATTGATTATGTTAATTAGTTCAATTTACCTTTTTGCCTGCTAGTAACTCTCCAAATCTTTATCTAGGAAAGTTGTAATGCACTTAAGAGAACAGTATAATTCTTCCTTCTCCTCAAATTAGTGCTCAGAACAAAATGTCAATCTGGAAAGGACTCTTAAAGTCCATGCATTTTTTGCATTGCTAGATTTTAAGCCAGATCTTATTGGTGAATAAGCATGCCTGTATTTGCATTACTTCTACCTTCAGAACTATTTTGTAACTTATTATATTGAGCAGTTGAACTGTAAAAATGCTAGATGTCATTCATCCCAGACTCATGTGGCCCACTTGACTTCATAACTGAGTTGAAAAATAAATAATAAGGTCATTTGTCAAAGAACAAGAAAACCTAGACTGATTTGAATACTATTGGAATAGTATCCAAACTACTTCAGAGTATGTATCAAACAGGAAAAAGACTTGGTCTGCTTAGTCATCATAAGCTACTTCCTATGCAGTGCTTGTAACATGGTTTGTCAATTATGCTGCTCCATCTTTGTTTTAACAAGTATGACTATTCTTGAACACTGAAACTTAAACATGAGCATTTATTAGTGACTCATTTACATATTATAAGAGTAGAAGAAATGCAGAAATTTTTTCGAGTAGAGCACTTTTTTTTCTTTCCTTAACATGAAGTCAAATATTTAATAGAATCATATCCTGAGTTGCAAGGGACCTACAAGGACCATCAAGTCCAACTGCTGTCCCGTCACAGAACAACCCTAAGAATTACTCCATGTGCCTAAGAATGTTGTCCAAATGCTTATTGTGCAGGCTTGGTGCTGTGACCACTTCCCTGGGGAGCCTGTTTCAGTGCTCAACCACCCTCTGGGTGAAGAACCTTTTCCTCATGTCCAACCTAAACGTCCCCTGACTCAGCTTCAAGCCATTTCCTCAGGTTCTGTCACCAATCACCACAGAGAAGAGATCAGCACCTGCCCTTCTGGCTTCCCATCATGAGGAAGCTGTAGACCATGATGAAGGCTCTGCTCAGCCTCCTCTTCCTCAGACTGAGCAAAAGCAGTGTCTTCAGCCATTCCTTGTACAGCTTCCAAACTTTCACTCCAACATATCCAGTTTATGGCTGCTTTCTCACAAAGCTAATGAACAGTGATTCTCTGATATAAAACAATCAGTTGCCCCTGATTCTGCAAAAGGTTTCACTGTATGCTTAAGTTTAGTTAAATAAGTGCTATGCTAATTAGGGCCTAATTGCTCAGTTCTACATGATCTGAAGACATACAGACACTCTTGTCTCCATCTCAACTGCATTCCTGTAACATCAGATAGTAGTTTTCTAAAAACTGAACCAGATACCTACTGAAGAAAAATTTGGCTCAAGCAGGTTTTTTTCCTGAACCAAAGCCACTTCCTTTTTAGAAAACCCAAGAACTGAAGACATCTTATCAGGCCAGAAGAATTTGTAGCACACAGAGTTTATAGTGAGGATGTGATTCAGGTGAACATGGTAATCAATGGGTGCTTCTGGCTCAGCCTTCCACTAAAAATCATTCCTATGTTGATGTTCTGAGGGCTGTCTCATAATCATGCCTGATGTAAGGTTTCAGGACCATTACATTTGAACAGATAACCAAAATCAGGTTTGATTTAACCAAATTTCAGTTATGATGGGTATTTTGAAGCCCTAAGGGACTGCTTCATTTTAATTTCCTGTATGAGGTGGAAACTTCTTAGAGTATTTCCTAAATCCTTGGACTAAACACTTAAATGTAACTGTAGTCATCTTTGCAGATCTACCAGGTCTGAAATTGATATTTGAAAAAAAGTAATTATTTTTTTTTTTTTCAGTGTTGCATTTGTACTAATTTGTAAAACAAATGTGTATGGTGTTGTTTTATGGCAGAACTTGGCAAAGGACATATGAACAAGACTAATTTTCTTGTTAAAAATATTTGGTAGTGTTATATTCATGGTACCAATATTGATAAAGTATATATGCTGTCTATGAAAGCAGTGGCATCTTTGGCATGAAGAACATAACTAAAAGAATGTGTTGAAATGTTAGAGTCTGTAGTGTTGAATCTAGTCTCTTATACTAACATTTAAATCAGTTTAGGTATTTGTTTTTAATTTAATATTTCACATTACCATGTATGCCAGATGCTCTCTGAATTCTCTGTACTTAGACTGGTGCATGAAGGGATGCAAATCTTTCTACTCTTAAGGGTAGCAGTACCAGAGTTTGCTTTTAGTGCTGTAACTTTAGTGCTTAGAGCTGTTAAGCAGCACATGCATGTTCTAGAAGCCTGTTATACTTCTGAGACTTGCATAGCTGTTAACTAGGTGAGATTATTTTGTGGAACTGGATTGCCTGACTCAACCAGCACAAACACCAGTCTGTTTACATACAGTACAGAAATGGATACTTCTGTGAGGTAACTAATGTTTATATCCTAAATTCATTAGCTTTACTTTCATCCTAGGATGACTGGCTCAGTTAACAATCTACAGAAAGTACATACTGCATTTGGGAAAAAATTACATGCATATGAAGATTACCTTACAGATACCACTACTGGCTTTTTGTATGTGTGTGAGAGTCTAAGGAAAACAAAGCTTATGGAGGCTTACTGGACTTCAGTAATAAGCCATTGAATAGGCTGAACTTCTGGTTAAAATCTGATAACTCTTTAAATCTTTCTTTCCAGGTGCTTCAAGATACTGAGTGCTAATGGAGAACCAAAGGTATTTAGACCTAGGGACCGCGATGATATTGTGAAAACTGTCATTGAACCAATGGCTTCTGAAGGTCTCAGAACCATCTGCTTGGCATTCAGAGACTTCCCAGCAGGAGAACCTGAGCCAGAGTGGGACAACGAAAATGATATCGTTACTGGTCTGACATGCATTGCTGTTGTTGGGATTGAAGATCCTGTGAGACCTGAGGTAAGGTCACCAACTAAGCTAGTTCTGTTACAAGAGATTCACGTTGTTCATCATGCAGAGAGTACAAGAAAATGAACTGCTATTGTATGCCTTAAGCATAGTTAATAAATGAAAATCTAATTTCTTGAGGGAAAGTTAATGGAGCTATAAAAGCAGATTAAAACTACTTAATGTCACTTATGCTGTGTTACTGAAGCTCTGTAGAAACTAATAACTTAAGGTGCTTACTGTGCAGGGTCTCAGTAAATGGAACAACTTGGCGGTTTTTTTACCCCTTATATTAGGACTATTTGATTAGGATAATACTAGTCTTTGTGCTTGTTGCCAGCTTCTCATGGGGAATGATGGAGAGGTGAGTTTATCTCCTGAGAACTGTGGGTAAGGAGTTTGGCTTGTGGTTGAGGTCTAAGGAAGTTTTTTTCATGGTGAAAGCTTTTATGCCACATATAAGTGGAACTCCAGGCTAATCTGTGCTGTTGTCACTTTGCAGTAAAAGTCATGGGTGAAGTTGTGGAGTATGAGCAGTAGTTTATTTCACAGAATCATAACTGAAATGCCAGTACACAGTTCAGCCTAACATGTTGTGAGGATTTTTGTGGTATGTCTGGATACTGCAGTATTTGAAAAATTGCAGGGGGAAGGGGAACTGACATGATAGAAACACAAAGCTACTTAATTTTTTTTTTATATTTCCATAACTACAGTCTTCATTTTAAAATAAGAGTTATCCTGGCCTGAGCCATAAACATTCTTTTCACTCACATGTCTAGATTTATTCTGCTAATGTACAATCTCTGAGCCTGTGGGATTTTTTTCTTGTTTACAGGTACCTGATGCAATAAAGAAGTGTCAACGTGCAGGCATAACTGTACGTATGGTCACAGGTGATAACATTAACACTGCTCGTGCTATTGCATTAAAATGTGGTATTCTGAATCCTGGTGAAGACTTCCTTTGTTTAGAGGGCAAAGACTTTAACAGGAGAATACGCAATGAAAAAGGAGAGGTAAGCATACTGACTATGTCAAGTACATCAACAAATATTTTAAGTCTCCTAACTGTAAAATATAACCAATGGTCTTTTTGCAGATAGAGCAAGAGCGAATAGATAAAATTTGGCCAAAGCTTCGTGTTCTTGCAAGATCTTCTCCCACTGACAAACACACTCTAGTAAAAGGTAAGTAAAAAGCCAGATTTTTTTTTTTTCCTGCTTCTAGGGAAAAAAGATAGGACTGAGTGGTGGGAAACACCTGGGAAGGTGTTGCCAACTGATTTTTTTCTGTGCTTGAGAAGTAGAACCAACTATAGAACTATTTGTGATTGTTGTTTGTTTTTGTTAGGGGTTTTCATATATTTTGTTGGGGGTTTTTTTTTGAGACCAAGGAAGACAAAAACTGGCTTTCTCTTTCAGTTTAATCTTTTCTGTGTTGTCAATTTAGAGCTGTAACACCACAATGTCATTTTATTTTAGGGATAATTGACAGCACTGTCTTTGACCAGAGGCAAGTTGTAGCAGTAACTGGTGATGGTACCAATGATGGTCCAGCTCTTAAGAAGGCAGATGTTGGATTTGCTATGGTATGATTTTTTTTTTTAAATCTTCAATATTTTACTGATAACTTACCAAATTACATAAGATTAAGAGCCTGACGTACAACTAAGTTAATGCAGTCAACTTCTCTCTCACTTAATATTAGTTAGTTTTTCTTCCAATTAACATGGTTTTAGTTAATGGAAAATGTCTTTGTGGCATTTGCCATTGAATAAAATTTTAAAAATACAGAGTCCCAGTTACTTGGTGTAAAAGGTTTTTGACTTTCAAAGCTTGTTACAAAGTGTCAGAACAGAAGTACAGATTGAAGATATCTGAAATGAGATATGTTCAACATAAAAGAGTGACTTCAGGTGGTAAGTATCATATTATGTTGACTTTGAATAAAGCTTATATGCAATATGGAATGAGCTTTAATCATCTTTCCCATGAAATGATACATAGGAACAGGGAGACTGCCAGTTGATGGTTAAACTGGCTTTGGAGGCCATATCTAGTGCATTTGAAGCTGCAGCATTTTATGACAATTTAGGATCTGTACTTGTCTGGATGATTCCTTAGATTATGTGGCTTTTTCAGTTTAAATTCTCAACTACCCTTTTATGTGGTTGCCAAACCATTTCTTGGCTTTTAAATGCTAATACTAGATAGACTCATGGCTTAAGTATGTAGGTTTTATCTTTCTTGTGCTTTTTTTCAAGACATGGTAAGATAGATTCCTCAGCCTTCCCTTTGCCACAAGATTCCTTCTCAGTCTTAAGATGAAAAGGTACAGTTTGGTGCTAGCAGGTTACTGTAGTCTTTAAAAAGTCATTATTAAGCATTTGAAGGGAAACACTGAAGACCACACTCCTCCTACATCACATGCAGATAGACTGACTCAGATTCTAATCATGAGAGAAAAAATGGGAAGAGGAAGAGCTTTGACGTTGTTCTCAAGGAGCATTTTTCAAAAGCATGATTTACAAGTTTGACAGCTACTTCTGAAATTTTCTCCAAACTGTAACGGTCGTTTCTTAACGAGTAGTCTTCTGCAACTGTATAGCTGTTGTATTTCACTGTCAGGGGCCAATTTGTTTTCCTCTTCTAGAACTTAAATGTTTCGTACAGTCTGTGTTCAGCTGTGTAAGAAACTATTTTCCATAACTTTTTATCTAAATAGCACTTCAAGTATACTATCCACTATATAATACCTAAAGGTACCTTTTAAGGTGTACACATAGCTGTGCAGGTCACTCATATCCTTGACAAAGTAATGTATCAAGAATAAGGATCATTAAATTTGCTATTGAGTTAGAGGTTTTGGAATGCCAAAAGCAAAATAAAGATCTTTGGAGTAGGTATTACACAGAAGTCATCTTAATTGTTTGGATACCGTAGGAGACTACAGGTGCTTAAAATTTAAGAATGTCATACTGCATTTCAATGCATATGCAATGACATTGCATATTCCACTGTTTAATGCTAATGTTCTTCTGCAAACTGTTATTTGTAATGTTAATAATTATACTGTGTTCTGACCACATATGTTGCCTGTTGTTGGAATCCATATAGGAAACTGGTTAGGGCAGAGCCTGAACTGTGTAGCACTGCACCATCTGGTGGTGTTCAGCTTGAACAGGGTTCAGTAAGATTTCTTTGGGGAACTTGGTGTGTCTTTATCATCAACTTGGGGATTTCTATTAAAGTCTTTATTTTAAAGACATTACTTCTTTTGTTTGTTCACATTTTCCCATGCTTGAGTAGAACTTGATTCAGTAGGCCTTTAGATACTTACATGAAAGGAATCCTTCAGACATGGTACCTCAAAGTGAATGCCGACCAAGGACATAATAATAGCTTTTATCACATAGGTCAGTTCATCTTGTTATATTTCATGGTGTTTTTCTTTTTCTACCAGGGTATTGCTGGAACAGATGTAGCTAAAGAAGCTTCTGATATTATCCTTACAGACGACAACTTCACAAGTATTGTTAAAGCAGTTATGTGGGGACGAAACGTCTATGACAGCATCTCCAAATTTCTTCAGTTCCAGCTTACTGTCAATGTAGTAGCAGTAATTGTTGCTTTTACAGGAGCATGCATAACACAAGTACGTACCAGTAGTGGATTGTTTCAGCTAATAAAGGTTGAAAATGTCATGACTGATTAACTCTTGTGTCTAAACTTTAAGTTAAATAGTAGTCCAAAGAACATAATGCTTTCCAGATCATGCCAATGTTGTATAATAAATACCTTTAAGAGTTGTAACTTGTGCACTTCTACTGGAGGGTTTATGTATCTATCTTTATAGGATTCTCCACTCAAAGCTGTGCAGATGCTGTGGGTAAATCTCATAATGGACACATTAGCTTCACTTGCCCTGGCAACAGAACCACCCACTGAAGCTCTTCTGTTGCGAAAGCCTTATGGTAGAAACAAACCTTTGATTTCTCGTACAATGATGAAGAATATTTTGGGTCATGCATTCTACCAACTTGTTGTGGTATTCACACTCCTGTTTGCTGGTAAGAAAAATGAGGCTTTACAAAGTTATTCTGAATGTTGTAGAGAGATGTGATTTTTAAAACTATTTTTTGTTGTAGTGTGTGTAAAGACACTAATTAAGCTGCTGATAAATGCCTTTTATACACAGGTGAGAAAATTTTTGATATCGATAGTGGAAGAAATGCACCTCTGCATGCTCCTCCTTCAGAGCATTATACTATAGTATTTAATACATTTGTGATGATGCAGCTTTTTAATGAAATTAATGCCCGAAAAATTCATGGTGAAAGAAACGTTTTTGAAGGAATCTTTAACAACGCTATCTTCTGTTCTATTGTTCTGGGGACATTTGTTGTACAGGTAAGTAAATTCTTGGAGGGTTGGGGGAAATGCATCTAAGTACACCGATGTACTTGCTTACCTTGAAATGCCAATCAGCTAGTGCCAGGGATTTAATTTCTGCAATGTGAAGAAACTTCAGTGTCAGACTTGCTATAAGTCACTTGCAAGTGCAGCTTGGTGGTGTTTTCAGGTAAGACTTTTTTTAAATTGGTAAAACCAGAGTGTAGAAGTACTTGTACCTTTTGAATTTTCTAGTCCTTCAGTTTGATTTTAGTGATCTAGTCTCTTGGCAAAATATGAAGAAGTTGTGTGTGTCATCTGTCCGTGCATTCCCTACCCCCCAATCTTCCGTATAGTATCTGCCTGTGCATCTGAAAGAGAGTCCATTTAAACAAGCATAGAAAAGGTACAACTTACATTTTCTTAATGAGATTAGGACACGAATAAGCTTTAGAAACTTAAATATCAGTTTTTATCTTACTGGTGCAGAAATCAGTTATATGTATTGGTTTATATTTTAGAGTTATCTGTAGAGGTGCTGTTTTAGGTGAAGAAAATTGATGTCCAGGTGCATGTAGGGGGATTTGTAAAAGCTGGTTAACTCAGTATATGCTAACAAATGAAATGAAATTATCTTAGATTGATTGAGTTAACACGCTGGTGTTGAGAAACACCAACTTAAAATTGAATCTAAAAAAATTAGTTTACAAGAAATAGTTTCACCTTCTAAATGGCCTTAATTAATCAGAAGAAATAAATCAATACACTACTTTATTTCAGAACGCTTTCATTTTAAATTATCTTGTTGCAGATGTAAGATTTAACCTACAGATTTAACCTATACCTTCTCCTTAGATGTGGGATTCCATGAAGTTGATGGAATTCATAGCAGTCCAAGCATTGCAAATGTATGCACCATTGCTTCATTTTAAGTTAGGGCACTTACTTTCCCAGGTTTAGGTTTTTTTAGATGACACTTCTACAGAAGCTACTATTATTTTTAGAGTTGCATATTCAGCAGATTGATTGTTGTTGTGCAACAAAGCCAAACATTTAGAAATTACTCGTGCAACTGTGTTCCTTTTATAAACGTAGTGGACTGAATGCCTTCCCAAGTCTTGAGTTTTTGTCTGTGTTTTATTCTGTGTTAATAAAAGAAGATACTCTGGCTTTTCAGCTTTTCAGTCATGTGTCCTATTTAATGGTCAGTACTGTCTCCTTTTCGTACCTGCCCTGTTACTTTAAATTGTTGATTCTGCAGGGCAGACTTTCATGCATATAGTTCCTATGCAGAGGGATACCTTGCTTATTAGAGTTCATACAGCTTGTTGTAATAGGTAAGTCAGTAGGAACTCATTTAATTAAACTTTCGAGATCTCTGCCCCCTTCCCCCACAATTCATATGTAGATGTCACAGTGTGGTGATTTAAAATCTGACATTTAACACAGATGGGATACATAGTAATATCCTGTAGAGTTACTTTTGAAATATTTCATGTCTTATGGATCCAAGATTTCTATTAATACAAATTTATTAATCGAATTAGTTCTGAGATGGGTGTTTATAGGTGAAATAATCACTGTAAATTTGTAGCATCAAATACATGCTGTAATTTTGAAATGAAGGGAAAAAACTGCAAGCAATATGAATGGCTCAGCAGGTTTTTGTGTGTGTGACATTTGAAGAATGAATTAATAGTTCTTGAAATATTGAAAAGCATAAGAAGAGGGCTTAGGTTTGGAATTGGAAACCTGCTCAAACTGCTGAGATAGTGGAAGGGTATGCTTAATAAGATGGGGAATCATGTTCTAATGCAGAGTTGCCTGTAGTGATCTTGAAGTACTAGGGAATTTTCTAGTAACAGGTCATTGATACATGTTTAATGATGTTGCTCTTCACAGATAGTTATTGTGCAGTTTGGTGGGAAGCCTTTCAGTTGCTCAGAACTCTCGATTGAACAGTGGCTGTGGTCCATTTTCCTGGGCATGGGCACACTACTCTGGGGCCAGGTAAACTAGTATTTTTCAAAATGCCAAATACCTACTTGTATTAGTATACTTACATAGCAAATAGAAATACACTAGCATTCAGATCTTTCAAGTGTACTGTATGTGAGTATATGGGATTAATGGTAAATGCTGATGAAAATCGACTAGTTCAATAGCTAGAAGGTCCTTAGTTGAATAAGATGGAATGAACATAATAATGTTGAAATATGTTTAACTTGGTGTTCAATGGTTTTTTTAAAAAATCTTGCTAATATTTTCTTAATTTCAAAACTTTCTGGAGTAGCAAGAAATGCAGCAAAACTCAAACCAACTTTCCCTTTAATCTTCATTTGCATAATTGTGAAATAATTGGAAAGTCCTTCCATCTATGAAGCTATTACATTTTGATTTACTCCCTCTCCCCCAGGATTTTATTACTATTGCATGTATGACAGTCCTTGTAAGCAGTAAGCTTATTACATGAAACTTTAGAGCTATGAAGTTTTCTATTATTTAATGACAGTTGTTTAAACTTTTCATACCACATGAAGAGTTTTCCATTACAGTTTATTTCCTTCTGTTATGTAAAAGAGACTTCACATTTCAGCATAATATTGGTAGAGTGTATTTTAGTTGTAAATACATACATAAATACATATGCATATTCTAAAAGTAGGTAAGCTTTTTAATAAGCTTCTCTGGAAAATTAATTATTTAAAAAAATCAAATAGAGTCACTCTGAGGTTTAAAGATAGCCTAGTAGAGAATTGAGACGGCTTGAAATACCTTTGACCCAAAATGTCTTGCAAGGGCAAAGCCTCCCTGCTGCAGTTCGTGCTGCTCTAGCGTCTCATTAAAGTCAAAGAGCTGGGAACATTCGTAGTAGCAGTTTCAGCATGAAGGGCTGTTTATCTTGCTTTTGGAGCAGTCTTTTTTCCTCTGCAGCTGCGGAAACAGTCTTCTAAGTTTGTGATGATCAAGGAAAGCAAACTTGTAATTGATGTGGAGCTGCTAGATGGGATGTATCAAAAGATGACTCCTCTTAACTACATAGTTCACCAGAGTGGCCCTGAAAGTGGAGATGAAAAGCTGGAACAGCCAGATACAGCTTTTGGTTAGCTTAAGATACATAAACTACTATACACCAAGTAGCAAAGTAACGGTTTGAGATACATACCATGTTAAAAACATCACTCCCCTTGGAAATGGATTCATAGCTTCGATGTCATGAATGAATATCTGTTCTGTATTTCTGAATTAATTGTGTCTACTTTAGGTGATGTAGGTCTCACTTGAGGTAACACATCATGCTCATTAAACTGATGGAGCTCTGAAAGCTCTAGATACAAGTATAAGTTACAGAATTAATGACTTTTTTTAGCTTCAGTACTGCTCCTTCCTGGCATTGTCAGGTAACGTTAACATGGAATTCTTTGTCCCTGGCAAGGTTTTTCTGTAGTTCAGGTTTAATTTCACACCTCCCGTTGCAGCTATTCAGCTGGAGTGATCACTCTACATTGATGCATTTATGTAATTGCATTTATGCAATTATGCATTTATGCACTCTACATTGATGTATTTATGTAATTGTTTTCAACTTTGCTAATTGTATGCAGGATATCATGCTAAGCCTTTTTTTTTTGTTTTTAAAAAAAAAAAAAAAAAATCCTGATTTATTTCATGTATTCATTCAATGTATTTCATTCACCGTTAGTTGATTTCAACAATTCCAACCAGTCGTCTGAAATTCCTCAAAGAAGCTGGTCATGGAACACAAAAGGAAGAGATTCCTGAAGAAGAGCTAGCAGAAGATGTAGAAGAGATTGATCATGCTGAGAGAGAATTGCGTCGTGGTCAGATCTTGTGGTTTAGAGGCTTAAACAGAATACAAACTCAGGTATGGTCTTGAAAAAGGTAGGACGCAGTGGGTTTTATGAGGGAAATCTCTCCATCTCCAGCCCTTTTGACTAAGGTGGCAGTTCTAACTGGTGTGACTGAGACTGTCAAAAGGGGGGATGGGTGGATATGTAACCCCTCAGGGTCCTCTGTTTTCTTCAGCTTTAAATGCAACTCTTGCCTATGTATCTGCTCTTTTTTTAAAAAAGTGCCTTTTTTCTTTACTTTTTTTGTGTGTTATAGATGGGATGGTCCTTTCTCTTGTTCTCTCTCTCTCTTGCTGAGCAAGCTGTCACAATCTCTGATTCCTTGCAGATGGATGTAGTGAATGCTTTCCAGAGTGGAAGTACCATTCAGGGGGCTCTAAGGCGGCAACCCTCCATCGCCAGCCAGCACCATGATGTAACAAATATTTCTACCCCTACACATGTAGTGTTTTCCTCTACTACTGCTTCTACTACTGTGGGGTGTGAGTGTGTGTTCCTAAAGTGCATGAAATTAACATTTCCTAATTCACGTACCTAACGTTTCTCATTTTCTCCTTAGTACTTAAAATCATCGTTCAGGCTTTTATAGAGCTCTTCCACAAAGTGGAGTCCTCAAGACTTTTTTTTTCTTAGAGGGCTGAGAACAGGTGGAACAATTTCAAGAAAAGACTTTAATGCGAAAGCTGTGAGCCTGCACATCCTGTGCCTTCATCCATTCGTGTACAGAGGGATTTTTAAAATAAGCAGGGAAAACTGTTGTAAATTTTCGAGTATATGCCTTATAGGGTGACTTTTATATTGAATAAGTGAATTAACTGTATAATCATGGACCCAGGCCAACAAAAATAGATGTCTTGCACTGCAGCACAAACAATACTTTTAAATAAGCAAGCTGATTTGGAAGCAAATGGTATGTTGAAAACAGAAATGTAGTTAGAGCATGAAGCACTAAATGCATTTTCTTTGTAGCGTGTGAGGAACTTTATGAATCTCTGCTTTCTTGGACCTTATTTACTGAATAACAGCTTTTTCAACATCAGGATTCAGGTGGCGAAACAAGGCTTCTAATATGCATACAAGTCAGAAGAAATATGTACTTAGCTAATATAGAAAGAAAAAAAAATACTTAAGCATCAAATGGGAAAATTTCATTCAAATCTGAAGGGTTTTTTTTCCCTCTCTAGGTTCTTCGGGGAGCAGTTCATAAGCCATCAGTGAAAGACAAGTTTGTGTCACCTTAATTCTGCCCTCTCTATATTGTGCTATTAAGCAGCGTTTCAGTTTCAGCCTTCCTCTACAGAGAGGCTAGAGATTTAATTACTCTTGGATGTAGGCCTAAACTCTGGAGCCTGAAGATGCATAGCAGTTGTAGTTGAATACTGATAGCCAATATCTTTGCCAAAAGAATTTTCCATCTTAATTATATATCATATTTAACTTCCTTCTCTAACTTCCTAGAGATTTGGTAAATCATTGGTTTTTAAAATAGCTCTGAGAGGGCTTCTTCTCCCTCTTCCCCTCCCCACTTAAACTTTCAGATTACCAGGTGGATGAAGACCCTTAATTTCAGGAGCTGTCTTAAGTGAAATGGTCTCTTCAGGGTTTTGTGGTTTTTTTGTTGTGTGGGGGGGGTTTTTTGTGTTTTGTTTTGTTTTTCTGGTTTTTGTTTTGGTTTTGTGTTTGTGTTTTTGTTTGTTTTGTGTTTTGGGTTTTTTTGTTTGGTTGGTTCTTTTAAAATTTGGGGTTTTTTATGTTTGGGCTTGGCCAGAATTTGTGTGTGAACCTGCACAAGTATTTAACTCTGTATTTGTTCTCCATTGGTGAGGCAGGTATTTTCCTACCTGACAGTATTATTGAGAAGCTCTGCTCACAAATTTGCATGCCTCAAGGACACAAAATGAAAAGTAGATTTAACAGTAAGGATACACAGGATTGCATCTCCTAGTTAAAATGCTAATTAGTAACCTATATCCCTAACTACACTCCAGAACATTAATTAGACATTCAGAATTCTCTAGAGAGCCATGTCATTCCATGCTGCTATTTGAGCAGAATCTACTGGGCACTGCAGCATCTCGTTGCATCAAATGACCAGTGTAGATACAGAGCTACCATAGGAGAGAACTAGTTTTTTATCCTAAGTAGTACAGCCTTCTGCTACACCCTCTAGAAGGACAACTTTTGATAGCTAATATATGTATTAATGGGAAGCAGATGTGGTACTGTCTCTCTTTTGGAACTGTTTGTTGGAAAAAAGTTCAGCTGTTCCTATGAAGGTTGCAACTCTTAAACAGCCGTCTGGCGAGGGCGACTTGGAGTGCTTACTGCATTCCATGCTATTCTGGTACTTACATGAGCAAGGCCCGATGACAGTATAAATTACACTTAACAAATTGTCTTGTTTGCTCCTCACTTATGCAATTTATTTATAGTTATCCCTCTAGTCTAATTATCGTGAGTAGTTGGAAAAAAAGCCTTAAAAACACTAGATTTTTCCCTTTTAAAATATAGCTTAAAATGATGATAGTTTGACTTCTGCCTTTGCGGCTGGACTCCTTGATGGTCCTGTGTTTGCTGGAGCGCCTAATCCACTTAGGTAGTACGCATTTTGCATGGGAACTGAACCTTTATGGTGGGTATGTTTATATTCTATGATAATTACAGCTGTCCTTTTAAGCCAAAAATTGCTTTCCATTACTGCTGATGTTCTAAATTCTCATCTGTTAGCAATAAAAAAACATCCCAGGAGACATTCATATTTCATGTTGCCACATAAATGGCACAGTGGGATGCAACATGCCAAATAAAGGCATTTCAAACTTGCAGTCTGACATTGTCACTGCCAATTTTCTTGGTAAGTGCCAAGACAGTTTATGCAGCTGGCTGGACTTGTTTAAACCCCAGGTAATGTGCCAACTCCTTGACAGCGTGCTCAATTTTTTAATGCAATGAACAGTAAAGTACTAGCTGCTCTTGTAATCTTTTCTCTAGCACTTTCATGCTATTCCCTGTCATCCCTTTATTGGTAGTTATGTGCTCCTCCTTGTGTGCGTGCCCCATCCCTGTATTGTCCCCCCACCCCTTCTGTCCTCTTCCCCTGTCTCTATGGTGAATTGGGCTCAGCATGTACCTGTACTATAAAAATGGGGACATGATAGCTTTTAAGTAAAATTCTTTGTGCAAGTGGTCTGAGAGAGAAGCCATGGGGAAACAACGCTAATTCTAGAGGTCAAAGAGCATAGTCCATAAGACTTTATCATGTGCAGTGATTCTGTTTAACAAATTTGATTTCATGCATTGCTTTTGGGGAGCCCTTCTCTGTTTGCAGTGAACTTACTTGTTGTATCTTAGCTGCTTTGAAGTCTGTGCTCTTGATCTGCTTGACCTTCCAGCCTCATTCCTTCACCTGGAAGTCACTTTATTTTTATTCTCAAGGAACGTTATGGAAGCACTAGTCATGATATATTTCTCAGCTTGAAACAGGTCATCTTGGATGTGCTAAAAAAAGCTTTAAATTTGACTTGCTGTTTGTAACAGTAAGTTCTTGTTTACTACAGAGTTGCTCTGCTGCTTACTATTTAAGCACTCTTTGACACTGCTTTGCTGGAGACCTACGGGTATGGAGATTGAATGGGGAGTTAACAGAAGGGGGAAACTGTATCTTCACAGAAGTGTTGGGCAGAGGGGTCACGGACTTGTTTTATCAATCCGAGAAAGAATCCTGAATTCCTGTAGTTGGTCAGGGAAATGTGGAACTTTAGAGAAGGGGAGGGTGGGCAGCTGGTTTGATCATTCAAATTTCAGTTTGGAATTCAAGTCAACCTAGACATGCACAATTGGTAAAATGAAGCTGTACCTCATCTAATTTAACTATGAAAGGTTTAGTTATGAATCTGTAAGCTTCCTGGTTTGAAAAATATTATGCAATATAAAGATACAAAACAATACTCAGCCTGGGAATTTTGTCCATGAATTCAAGGTAGATTGAAGACTCAAGCAAAGGCTGATCACCCTGCTTTTCTCATACTTGTTGGTACTTAAGTAATCTCTTCAAAGTTACCTGTTCTGGCTACTAAACTGTACAATACACTGTTCAATTTTCTAGTTCTGGTCTTAAGTTTCCAAAGCACTATTCACTAAGGAACTTTCTATAGTGTGGTAAATGGGTATATACTCGAATTTTTACAGCTGTTATAGTAGTATCCTTTTTTGCATGACTTCGTAAATGTTCGGTCATTGTGACATTGGCTTACACTTGCTTGGCTTTTTCATAGTCAGTTGACATCCTAGTTCCTAGCATGAGAATTAGTAACCCTTTTTATCCCCTAACTTATTTTCAGCATATCCCCTCCTTCCCTCCCTTCAACCTCCCCCAAATGTTCAATGAAACACTCATTGAGACTTCCGTAATTTGTAAAGAAGTAAATAAATGTTGGCCTCACTTCTGAAAAATGCTTATTAGCCCATGTTAAATAATTGAACAATTCTAGTACCAATTTTTAGGGCCCTTCATCTTTTTGCAGTACTTTCACAATTTTTATTCCTACTGTGTAGACTGGCAGTGCTCTACTGAAATGCTCTTCATTTTTTACAGTTTATTGCAAGTTCCACTGCATCATACAAATTTGATTCACTCATGTCTAGCTGTTTGTGGATTCAAACTCATAAGAACCATGCCATTACCAGTAAATCTGCAGCATTTTAACAGCCTTTTTTCTTTGTTTACAGATCCGAGTGGTGAATGCATTTCGTAGCTCCTTGTACGAGGGGCTAGAGAAACCTGAGACACGAAGTTCAATTCACAATTTTATGACGCATCCTGAGTTTAGAATAGAAGACTCCGAGCCTCATATTCCCCTTATTGATGATACTGATGCTGAAGATGATGCGCCAACAAAACGCAACTCTACTCCCCCACCCTCTCCCAATAAAAATAACAATGCGGTTGACAGTGGAATTCACCTTACAACAGACATGAACAAGTCTGCTACCTCTTCATCCCCAGGGAGCCCACTACATAGTTTGGAAACATCACTCTGATTGTAAGCTGAATGTTAACACACTAGCTGCTTTGTAAAGAAATTGAAACTGGGTCTCTTCACACATTATGATGGACAAGATGATATTCTTGTCTTGGACTTCAACAGAAGACACACTTGTACGAATGTAGATTTATTTTTTTAAAAAAAAAGCTTTCTGCCAGACTGGAGGGTGCTTTTCTGGGGGTGGGAGTAATAATGAACTCTGACAGTAACTTGGCATAAGTGACCTGTGGATCATCTGTTGTACTTAAGAATGGTCCTGAACAGTGTGTTAGCAGAGCTTTAGTTTATCATGATCCTTTTCAGAGGGGAAGGCTGGGAAGGGCAAGGAGGCCCTGGATCATTGAATTGATACTTTAATTTCTGCTGTTGGCTGTTAATAATTTGGATTATTTATGTTTATAAATGATACAGATCTGTTTACAAGGTTTGTAGATACTTTTTTGTTCCTGTTCATAGATGGGAAGCTTCCTTATAAATGATACAGAGAAGAAAACAAAAGAAAACAAACAAAAAAAAAAGAAAAAGAAAAAAAGAACCAAAAAAACACAAACTAGTCCTTCAAATACTGCTGTATTTTCAGGAAAAGGGTGTTTCTATTGAAACTGTACTAAATTTTGCCTGCAATTTACCTTGTTAAATATTGTAGATAAATTGCTACTACTAATAGCCAAATAGATAACACTAATGCTTTGTAAAAACATGAGCAGTGGTGTTCTAATGAAGTTATGGCCTCTGTCCTAATTAGTTTCTTAAATACATTTACTACTTAATGGTTTTGAAACAACTGTTTAATTTTTAAAAATTTTGAGAAACTTAATGAATAACTTTTGTTCAGAACTTAGTAGGATTGTTTAATGCAGGACATCAATATGTGATGGAACTTGCTTGAAATATTTCTGTTATCTCGGGCAAAATGGATTAAATCAAAATACATCAGAATCTTAGTCCTTTGTTTTTGTCTAATCATGTTAGTTTAGTGCTGTCTTGGTGAACTGTGAGTGGAACTGTGATTTTTTTCTAATCTATAGAATCCTTCATGCAGCATGAGGGCTGTTGGCATTTTGAAAGGTTGTTAGTGGGTAGCATACATGTTCTCCTTTTTGTTTTTGAAACTTGTTTGTAAACATGAATAAATCTGCCCTTTTGTTAAAATAAAATTGCAGCGATGGTTTCTTACAGATCTTTTTTTCTCAGCTCCTTCACTGGAAATATGGAAAAGTACTCTTCTGTATTACTGGTTAACTTTAAACTGCAATTTCAAGATGGTAACAGCCGCGCTCCAGATAGTACTTTGGGTAAATGGAATCATGGTGGCTGCCTCCAGAATGAATGTGTAAGCTAAGATACTCAGAAGTCTTCACTGAACCAAAAGGATACTCTTTGGGAATGAATAGGTCTGCCTGAAATTCCGAGACTTCCTGTGAGTACTGTGTAATAAATATATCCCTGACGATTTAAGTGAGGGAAAACCGAGAACTGAAATATAGCATGGGTGAAATGTACCAGAACTGACCGACTAGAGATTGACTGAAGAAGTTACGGTCTGCCTCAACTGTGTTGTTCAAACAGCAAAAGATGATGGAACAGTACTTGATCTGGCACTTTCTCATGCGCTCTAGATCTAATACTGCTTAGAAGAGCAACAGAAGGGAGGAGTTGTAAACTTTTATTTTCCCAGTTCTGTATTCTTTGAAACAGCGAGTGAATTTTTTTTGTCAAATAATCCAGAATTTTTAAAGGGGTCCCTTCAAAGGAGTGCAGGAATTAAGTTGGTAATGAGGAAGGCAGTAATACCAGAGCAAACTGCAGAAATCAACAGTTTGGGAAGCTCAAGCAAATCTTTCCCTTATGATGGGATACATGCATGCTTGAGTTTGTCCTTTAGAGGCTAATGTTCAACCTGTAGCACTGTATCCCACTGTCAACCACTCCTGAATTCAATCTTTTCTATTGTACGTCAGTAAATACACTGAATTCTAGGCAATGGGGGGGGGGTGTGTTGCACTTGACACTTTGTATAGTAATTTTTCCCACATTTCTGGCACTTTTGTTACATCACAGTTCTTATCTAGAGTGCTTGGGGGGGGATCAGTTTTTATGTAAGCTGTTTTCTCTCTACTACAAAAGTCAGATAAGCATTGGCTTAAAATGAGGATTTTCTTTAGCCATGAAGTACATTGTCATATGAAAACGTATCTTCGTTTAACTTCATTAATGACTAATAATTTGACTTCATTTGAAAACAGACTTTAATTTTTCCCTCTCCTCTGGATGTGGTCATGACTGCATGTTATCTTTTTTGGAATAAAATTTACACTTAAGCCTTTTGCTGGGGGGTGGGAGGGTGAATGTAGGCTTTGTACATCAGTAGTCCCTCTTGATTCTGTTAACATCAGTGTGCTGTTCCTACAGGAAATTTTCCTTACAGAAATGAGGAAAAGTTGTTTTAAGAGGGGGGGTGTGCTTTCTTTGTTATCTCAAGAAATCATAACATTGCCTAGATTATGAAATGATTTTCACTAAGGTCATAAGGCCTTCATTGCCTTGCTGGTTGTAAGGTTTACTTGTCTTTCTTCTTGTAACTGAAATAAATAAAAGTGCTGTTCATCTCAGTCTGTATGGGGACTGAAATTCTTGAATGTCAGTACAGTACTTATTTAAACCTGAAATGCATGCCAATTCTATAAAATAGCTCTTGCTACAACTTTAAGTTCATTTACTTTCAAGAGGTCATGGTATGTATGGTATACATATATATGTAATATATATATGTAATAGCAACTTTGAATATAAACTCAGTTCTAGACTGACTGCTGGTTTAAGTGGCTTAAAATGCTGTTTCCTGGGTAGGATGTCTACGATAGTTGTGTATAAGGCAAATGTCAGGACACCTCATCTTGAATTCGAAGGAAGGATGAAACTTGTAATATGAGAGGACTCATTTTTTTTCTGTATTGGTCTGAACAGAAAGAGGAAAAGACTGCATCGTGGAGTAGTCTGGAGAGAATAATGCAAACAAATGCCTTAATGCCAAACTAGTGTGTAAATGCAGAGCTTGCAGCAAAAAGCAGACTAAAAAATATAAACTAACTCGGTGACTTTCTAAGAATAACAGGAAGTTTTCCAATGTGTTTTGAAGTAAGGAAACAAGTGTAATATTCACGGAAGGATAATTTTTGTATGGCTGACGGTATTGGAAAGTTATTCCAAAGGCCTGATAAGTTCAGTTTCTATTGCTAGTAGTTTCAGCCTCTGCAGAGCTCTAGAATAATCCAGATCATATTAGGAATTACATGAATTAAAGTAGAATGTCTTTATGTTTGCACTGCTTTTCTGGTGCAAATACTTTGTTCTAAAGAGCTCCTGCTTTTTCCACTTCCACCCTCTCCCCCAGTAGTGCATATCTGCTAATCTTGCGGATTTCAAGCCCTCTCTGAAGTGAGTCTGGACAGCGTGGAGGGTCCAGCTCCAATTTATCTCCATTGGCCTGCTTATTCAGGGCCATGTTATGAGAAATTCTGGGCCAGAATAAAGAGCCTTAGAGCTGTTCCTAATTACCTTCTTCCCTGAACTGTATACAAAACTACCCAACCACCCTCCTCAGGAGACTGCAGCATCCATCAAGGAGATATGACTTACACAGTGTCTAAACCAGAAGCCTCCTACAGGTACTACTTGTCCTTTATGGTCAAAGGTGAGGGTTTGCTTAGAAAATTATGAGATGGGCTTAGATGTGTGAAAGAAGACAGCATGTAAAAGGTAGCTCACTAGACAGTGAGTCTTTACTACCGTTAATGTGCACCTAACATCTAATTTGCTACAGAGTCTGTACAATTATTAGGCTGAAAAGGGTTCCTGGGCTTGCCCCTACTAGAAGACAGTGGAAATTTAGCCTTGGAAAAATAGCTAGCAGGAGTATTTCTGGGAATTAGCAGCTTTTGGTGGAAGTGTACATTCTGGAATACTGGAAAATCACCTGACATCTCATATTGTGGTGTAGTGACAAACGTCAATCCAAATCTGAAGCAGTAGTTGTTCACTGAAAGCATGTGTCCTGTATCCCTGTGAGTCATTGCAAAGCTAGTAGTAGCATCTAACAATTTGGAGTGTCTTCATTGGCTTTCCTAGGCTGCTTCTCTTGCAGGGCATGAAGGTGAAGTAAGCTGGAAGACTGTAAGTATGATCACACAGAAAACTTCCTATGCCTTCCTCCTTGGCAAAGGCAACAACCTCGGCATTGCCCTATGACAACTGCTAAGGCGCAGAGTGAATATGGCTTTTCATATTTTAAAGTTTTCAGCCTCTTACAGAGAATCAGAGTGTACAGTTCAAATGCTTTGTGTGAAAATACTCCCCAAATTTCTGATTTAGATTACAACAAAAATGCAAAGCCACCCTACGAGTAAACCCTAGAAGATTTGTTTGTATCTTTGACAATTTCAGTTGTACTAATACAGGATTTAACTTGAAATTCTGTCTACTACAAGCTGTTTGTTCTGATGGCTGTAGATATGAAGCCTCTTCAGTTATGACCTAAGGTAGTTTCAAGATCTCAGAAAGGTAAGCCTCTATTTGGCTGATGTTTGTGGGGAAATACATAGCTTATTTTGTATACTGTGCTGGCAGCTACTGCATAGTGTTTTGTGCTATGTACTTTGGGAGAGAATCTGCAAAATGAGCTTTACAACATTCTGATCTTTGTCATAGGACCTGCCTAAGGGACAGATTACTTGAAATAGGGAATTCTCTGAACTGATATTTTGGTAGGAAACGGTAGGAATTGCTTTTGGACAACACTGCTTTAAAGATGGAATGTATATCTTTACTCACTTGCCATGTATTGGTCATTAATGTTCTGATCAGGGCAACAGTTTAATTCATTGAGAACCATCATCCAAAAAGCAATCTAATAAATTAATGTTTTTAAATTAAAAAAAATACTCTGGGAAAGGTAGTTTCTGTCATACATAAATTTCAAAAAAATTATTTATTACTAGCTTTTTTTCCTTTTGCCAAATCAGCTAGACTCTTTTCTCATAAACCTAGCAGTATATAGACATGACCTAAAATATCCCCTTCCTTTCTTCTCCCTTCCAGTCTGGCAAGGATGAGTGCAGGGGATTAGCGAAGGTGCAATTGTGGATTTGTCTCCTTTCTCATCTTTCTGTCCTGACTTTTGATCTTCTCTTTTACTTTCTACTTCAAGATCTCATCTACTGTCAGTAAACACACTGAAAAATTGCTGTGCAATGTGGCCTTTGATGTTTTTAGTGAAGGGTCCTTATTACACTTCATCCACTCTTTAGTTGATGTGAAGGTTTGAAGAATTAGGTTTTAGACTAAGAATGAACATAAAAAGAGCAGTAGAGAATGAACATTTAAGACCAAGTGATTCTCCCAGATAGTTTGTAAAAAAACTCCTTACCTAGCTGGGCCCTTGATGTTCATTTATAACACTGAGCCTGCTTATATGAAAGAACTTTGGTATATAGACATGGTTCCAGCTCCACATTGTGGTACTTTGGTCATGTTTGGAGATGTACAGAACACTGAACACTTTCAGTTTTAAGCCTTGGGCAGGAAACTTCAAAATCATTTTGTCTTGCCAGGTATATCTTGAAGACCCACTTCTAAAGAAAACCCTAAGGGCAGGGCTTTTGAAAATATGCATAGAAGGCCTATGAGGATTTAACAGGGAAAATACATGTGAAGGCCTTGTATGGTAGCTAGCTAATATACTTCTGTTTGAACAAGCATAGTGATCCTGACCTGCAGCTCCTGTACATGGAGGAGTGATCAATCCACAGTTGAATTAACATAAGCAGGCACAGGCTGTGCTGTGCTGCTGCACAGATCCTTTGCAATCACCTGCTCAACAGCCTCACCACCCTACCCTAAAAACAAGCCTTAAACTCTTTGGTGGTGTAGGGCTCTATTTGGCCACAATTGTGCACCTGTGATGGGTGGAATCACAGGAGGCAGCCAGGCTCTTCTCAGTGGTGCCCACTGACAGGAGAAGAGGCAACAGTGACAGCATGTGAAACGGCCTGAACACAAGAAAATACACTGTGGCATTATGGAGTCTCCATCCTTGGAGATGCTCAGAACCCAACTAGACACAGCCCTGAGCAACCTGCTGTAGCTGGTGCTGCTTTTAGCAGGGGCTTGCAGTAGCTGATCTGCAGAGGCCCTTGCCAGCCTTGGCCATTCTGTAATCCTGAAATTCTTGAGCAGGAGGTGTAATTCTATAAGGTTTTTCCATTAGCCTCATGGATATTATTTGTATACATAAATGGAATTCAGCAAGGAAATCAGTCACTGGAATGATCAAACCTGAGCCAAAGCAAGAAAGGAACTGACACTTTCTCTTATCTTAAACTAACCTTACCAATGGGCCTGCTGACACTTGCCTGCTATAATGCTTACGGTGACAGCGAGTTCTTTCCATACATCTTGTCAAAAGAGCTCTTCTATGAGTTGCTCTGGTCTACAGCACTGAAAGATGCTACCATTTAAAAAGTACTCCCAAAATTATATGATTAAGTATACGCAAGCCTGCCTTCCTTGTTTTTTATCTAAAATGCAACAACTTTCAGGCTTTAAATTACTGTATACAAGATGATGTCCTGTGTGTGCTGACCCATAGGTATCCCAGAGGATTTCTGACAAGACAGGGACTTGTTATCTAAAATGTCACTAGTGTCTCTTTGATCTTTTCTGGAAGGATGGGGCCATTAGGGGCAAAAGAAATGGGATAGCATATGCGCACAGAAGAAAATTTGCAGTGCCCATTCCTCTGTAGCAGCATCTTTTAGTAAACAGAAGCATGCATTTTTGTTTATTCTAGCAGCTCTTTTTCATATCATCTTCTTACAAGTTGAAAAGAGACTAAAAATGATTAAAATTTTGCCCTATGATGAATTTGCTTGGTGCAAATAGTGCTATTTACAGTTTATACAGTTGTTCTCTAGTGACTTGAACTTAAGCTAAAATCTAATCTCAAAGCCTTCAGTGGTGATGTTTTTAAATTTCAGAGATGGTCAGGATTAAGTTACTGGACACAAATAAAAAAACTCCTCGTAGGAAGCTTCAGATACCTTGGCATTTTGGTTTCTTAGTCCCAGTGAATCTTAGTAAAGATTATTGAGGCTTAAACTGTACTTGAGCTTTTCTCATCTCCTGTTACATGAGAAACCGCAGGAGAAATAACACAGAGCTTGGATTTTACTGTTCAGTGCTGAACTGCAAAGATTTTGTGAGGCTTCTAATCCCTGCCATTTCCCTCCTTCCTGAGCTTATCCAATCACAGTGCAATGCAGTTCTGCAGGCAGCTGTCTGAGGAGATTTTTGAGCTGTGAAGAGGAATACTGGGTGAAATCAGTATTCAAATGTTACATGTAACAGCTTATTCAGTTATTCTTTTGTACAGATAGGAGACTATTCAGCAGAAAATAACTCTTTAGTGAGGAAAATTCACAGCCTTTTTGTCTTTGCAGGCATTAAAGGAACGATAACTTTGTGAAATAATCTGAAACTCCATGAAGTTCTACTGCTTTGTGCAGGAGTTTGTGTTAGGTGACTTCCTGAGCCCCCTTCCAACCTGAATTATCCT